ATACCATGGTAGTATCTCGTGCCATGAAGTGCCATGTAAATATGTTCCACGGTACCATGCACAATGTATTGCTGTGCATTTTGTTATATACTGTGGACATGTATTGTACATAACGCTTTCTTTTTTTTTTTCTACTTTTTTTTTTCTCAAGTATAGGCAAACTAACCCAAGCTTGCTGCTATTCATAGACCATGCATGTATAAACACATATGTCACATGCATTATTATACAAATTTACACACACTTGCACAGAGCTCTCAAGGCACTCAGCGTCAATTAAGTAAAGAAATGAAAGGATTAATGAGAAATCGGCAGTTTTCACACATGAGCTGTGCTAAGAGGTGGATCAAAAGACCATTTTAGCGCACAGCGTTTCCTCCCCCCTCCTGTAATAGCTGCTGCCCCTTCATCATATTACTGGAGGAATGAATGTGAGCAGCCTGTAATTAATTTCACAGATGAGTTGCTCACAGGGTGACTCGCTCGCCCCTCTGCATCTGCATACCCACAAACTGCATGTGTGTGTTTGCAGGTAGTGTTGAGATTGAGAAAGGACATGGTCAGCACATTGACATATGAACTTCAGAGGGCAAAGAATGACAGAAATGAAAGAGTGACTTTGAGTATCTCTGGAGGCCGAAGGCAGAAAGAAAGGATGACCGAAGTGAAGCGTTAAGGTTAATGCAGAGTGCTTTTAATGGCATTGAATGTACATTCACCAGAGGTAATGTAGGATGTGGCCGTCTTTATACTTCAAGGCTCCATGTGGTCGATAAAGGGCAATTGTTGTTTGTCATCACGTCATGCAGCATAATACCTCTGCACACCTGCAGAGATTATAAAAGTGAGCAACGCTGGGCTCAGTGATATCAAGTATATTTTGTTAGAAGTTTCACTGGAGAGACAACAAATATTGCTTTGTTTCTGTACTTTTTTGCCAGTCTTTGTGATGAAACTTTATATAATAGCCGAGAAACAAATGTAAATATATATATATAATCTGATATATAATTGATCTGTAATCAAATGACAATTTTCTTTGGGTGGGGGATGAAAAAAAAGACAACATAGTTGCCTGAAAAATTAGCATGTTGGAAATAAAAGGCTAGCATTTAAAGTAACCAATATGCTGTAATCGGTGTAATAAACATGACTCTTCATTTCATGACCGCATGACCCCTCTCTCCCACATTGCGCCATTAAACACAATTTATGTTTATTCTTCATTGTGATCATTTATTTATTTATTTTTGTGTCTTCAAGTAGTTGTTGCTGGCTGATCTGCTCTATCAATCTGACTTGCAGTATTTTTACTGAACATCGAGACAACACTCTTAAAATGAAAGCTTCTTTGCAGGCATCAATGGTTCCATGA